TTTTTTTTTTTTTTTTTTTTTGGTAATAAAACAATAATTACAAAAATTATAACAGTGGGAAATAAAGAAACAGTGCGAGAGTGTGGGGGGGCCGTTGAGCTGTTAAATAGCTGGCCTTGGCTCTGGCCTTCAAAATCCCCTACTAAAACCCACTCCCTTCTTTACTCCCTACTAACCCACATTTTTCTGCCCACTCAGATGCCTCATTCCAAATGAATTTCAACTCCATTTTAAACCTCTCACTCCTCCTCCTTCTCCTCCGCCTCGCCGCCGCCACCGTCGGCCATGGCTCCCTCTCTGACGCCGAAGCTCTCTATATCCGGCAGCGTCAGCTTCTGTACTATCGAGATGAGTTCGGCGACCGTGGCGAGGAAGTTACCGTCGACCCATCTCTCGTTTTCGAAAACGAAAGGATCAGAAACGCCTACATTGCACTTCAAGCTTGGAAACTCGCCATTTTGTCCGACCCACTGAAGCAAACAGCTAATTGGGTCGGATCTGATGTCTGCACCTACACCGGCGTTTACTGTGCTCCCGCATTGGACAACCCCAACATTCGTACTGTCGCCGGCATCGATCTCAATCACGGCGACATTGCCGGATACCTCCCCGAGGAGCTCGGTTTGCTTGTGGATCTAGCATTGTTCCACATCAACTCCAACAGATTCTGCGGCACTGTTCCTCACAAATTCGACCGTCTCAAGTTGCTTTATGAGTTGGATCTCAGTAATAATCGGTTCGCCGGGAGGTTTCCCGATGTGGTTCTCAGGCTTCCGATTCTCAAGTTTTTGGATCTGAGGTTTAACGAATTTGAAGGCAGTGTACCCAGAGAGCTGTTTGATAAGGATTTAGACGCCATTTTTATTAACCATAATCGGTTTAGATTCGAACTGCCGGATAATTTTGGGAACTCGCCGGTGTCGGTGATTGTTGTGGCCAACAATAACTTCCATGGGTGTTTGCCTAAGAGCTTGGGCAACATGACGAGGCTGAATGAGATCATTATGATGAACAATGGACTAAATTCTTGCTTGCCGCCGGTAATTGGGGCGTTGAAGAACTTGACAGTGTTCGATGTTAGTTCAAATCAGTTGGTGGGGCCATTGCCGGAGACCTTTGGAGGGCTTGTGAGTTTGGAGCAACTCAATGTAGCTAATAATTTTCTTTCTGGGAAGATTCCGGGGAGTATTTGTGATTTGCCCAAGCTTCAGAACTTTACGTTCTCGAATAACTTCTTTTCCGGTGAGCCGCCGGAGTGTTTGAGGGTTCCGGAGTTCAGTGATCGGAGGAATTGCTTACCGGGACGGCCAATGCAGCGGCCAAGTGGGAAATGTAACTCGTTTTTGTCGAACCCTGTTGATTGTAATGCGTTTAAATGCGGTGGTTCTTCGTCTGTTACGCCTTCTTCTCCGTTTTCCCCTCCGGCTGTTTCGCCCTCTTCGCCTCCATCACCGGTGGCGCCGTCGTCACCTCCGTCTTTCCCGTCACCAGTGGCGCCATCATCACCTCCGTCGCCGTCTCAGTCTCCGAGTACACCGACGGAACCGCCATTGTCGCCCCATTTTCCTCCACTATCGCCACCGCCGTCGCCTTCATCTCCGACTACACCTACAACTCCCTCATCGCCGCCTCATTTTCCATCTCCATCTGCTCCGTCGCCTTCATCTCCGACTACACCTACAACCCCCTCATCGCCACCTCATTTTCCATCTCCATCTGCGCCGTCACCTTCATCACCGCATCAAGGTCCTTCTCCGCCGTCACTACCCTCACCTTCCTCGCCGCCTCTAGGTCATACTCCGCCATCTGAGCCCACACAACCATCGCCACCTCACAGTCATACCCCGCCTACTCCACCTTCACCAACCAAGCCCTCGCCATCATTACCGCCACAAGGCCACACTCCCCCTGGTCCTTCGCCGTCCGAGCCCTCACCATCATCGCCACCACAAGCCCATACTCCGCAATCTCCACCTTCACCGACCGAGCCCTCTCCTTCCTCGCCGCCATATGGCCACATTTCCCCGGCTGAGCCTTCTCCACCTGGAATATCAGCACCGCCATTCCCAGTTCACACTCCGCCTCCACCACATTTCCCTGATTTTCCTTCGCCGCCAAATACCCAACCTCCAGTCTACTGCCCACGATCCCCATATCCACCATCCCCTCCATCCTACTCCCCAAACCCACCTGATTCTCACTTCACCTCCCCCCCGCCGCCGCCACCTGTTTATTCCCCACCCCCTGTTCATACATCGCCGTCCCCTCTCCCCTGCACAAAACCTCCATCTCCCCCACCAGGTGCTCACTATTCAGAACCACCGCCTCCTCAGTCTTCAACACCGTCTTCCCCGATCCACTACAACTCCCCACCACCACCACCACCACCACCACCGGGGCAATATCAATCTCCTCCCTCACCTTCACCTCCGGTCAGCGTGTATCCACCGCTATCTCCCTCACCCCCACCTCCAGTGATTTACGAAAGCCCGCCGCCGCCTCCAACTCCAGTATACGGTGGCCCACTGCCTCCAATCTACGGAGTTCCCTACGCCTCTCCTCCACCCCCACCCTTCTATTAATTATTTATCATCTCTCCGGCCAATTCTCCCAAAACTTCCCCACCTGCGATTTCCCCCATTGAGCTTCATTCCTGATCAAATCTTCTCCCTCTGGTCAATCCTCATCGACCACGGAGAAACAATAATAGAAACGAAAAACTCCATCAAATGTTGAAGAAACAGAGAGGAAGAAATTCTATATTTCTTTTCACATTGCTATGTAATTCATCGTTTTTTAGTCTCTGCAATAAAAATTAGTAGAATTTGCAGGGGAACCTTAAGCTTGTTATGTTGTTTCAGAGCGCGGAAATGTATGTATAGGGACGAACTCCATAATTCAACTAAAGCTCCACTTCTTTCTGCGCCTCTTTGCTTGTCGAGTTCTACTATTATTTCAATCATCATCTAAATCCATATCTTATTTACTATTCCTTTTTGCTTTTCATTTGTTCTTTGAATTGGTGGATGTTCAACCAATCTTTTCGCTTAAACAACCGTCCAAATTTGGTCAAAGTAAGTCAAAATTTTCAGGAAGATGAACTTAACTTGGACGTTGGAGGTTCAAAATATAATTAGACAAAAACAGAGGACAGAATCCTGTACAGGACAGAAAGCAACGTGATCGGCGGACATTCAGATTTTGAAAAATCGCAGAAATTAATTATTAAATCATTTTAAAACTTGGAAAATTATATATATATATATACACACACACATAAATGGCTGAATCTAGGACCGAGGGCTGGCCACTGATTCCCAGTAACATGGAGCTGAATCTGAATTGCCCATCTCAAATACACCTAATTTTGAAATATAAATATATATATATATTAGTTCAAACAAATGGGTTCTTTTTGTGATCCTCAACGTTTGGAAGAACGGTAATAATTGCAAAAACTTTCTACCATCTATAATTTATAATATTTTATTTTTGGGTATCCATTGGATATAAAATTTAATCATAAGCCTTAAAAAAAAATGATAGATAGATATCATGGTCATGTCACAAGCGATATCGAAAAAGGCGGAACTATTATATGTTGAATCTAGAAGAACTTATTACCTCCTCACCATTTAGAAAAATTATAATAATTCAATTTATAACGTAGAATATTTTATTTATAGGCATTTGTTCACACATAAAATTTAACCATAAACTTTAATAAAATGATGGGTAGATAATGTAACCATATCTAGTAGGAGACATCGTCTATCTAATTTAGATTTGAAACGGTTAGATTTGAAAGACAAAGGTCTCTATCATTTTGGAAATTGGATTTTTTTTTTTTTTTTTTTTTTTTTTTGAAATATTTAAAATTAATGCGTTCCGTATTGGTATGGCACCAACAACATGACACTTGAAGTAGTTTTATTAATTGAATCGAATATTGTAAATAAAGTTGTACCCCCATGCCCCCCTCCTCTGCATTTAATATACACCATGTGCATTTTCCCTCGTTTTCCTATTCGTTTCTTTTCTTTTCATTTATTTATTCTTTTTTTACGTTAAATTATGAATAATAATATTAATATCTTTAAACTTAAACAAAAACTAATAATTTTGATCCTTTAAAAATGTTCTAAAAAATATCATTTTTCGTTAATTATGATTGGATGAATGATAAAGATAAAAAACACGGTCTCTAACGTGAAAGTTATTAATGAAATTTTATCGTTTTTGCTCTTACATAAAAATTTAACACCACAAATTTCAGGTAATTAAAAGTTTTGAATTAACGTGTTTGAAAGCTAGAACGTAGGGTGATGTAGTGAGCGTACGTAATGATGATAATAATAATAATACAGTTAATTATTACGATAGTATGGAGAAATATAAGTTGGAAGATGGGTTAAATAATAATGATGTACATACGTGTTGAATTCTTCGGTAATAATTGAATTGATCTCTACACTAAGAGTGGTGTAACATGCATGGCTGTGATTTAATTTAGAAATTCATTAAATTTTTAGGTACTTATTTCGTGGATATTGACAAGCTAGATTTCGATTATTGGCTATGTTTGCAAGTATGATAGGGCAATGAAAGGAAAAAACATAAATGGGATGGCCCATGCTTGTTGCCATGGGGGAACTCACATGGGTTTACTTTAGTCCACGTACTTTTGTGTTCTCCCATGTCTCGTGTCTTTCTCTCCACTTACCCTTCGTGATTCTCTCTCTAATCGAAGCATTTTAAAATTAGGAGATTGAAGACGATATTTAACGTAATAAAGTAACGCAGTTGAAATATTACTGGGTATGAAAATTTAGTAGAGTGGTTCGAGATTTATTGCGACCCACCAAACAAAACCTAACCTAAATGAATTAAGTTGGAGGAATTATGAAATTAATTGAGTAGATAAAGATAACGTTTTGGGTAGTGAATTATTTAAAGTCTTATTGTACTATATATTTAAAAACAAAATATTTTTTTTTGTTCTTAAGCAACATTTATTCGATTTAATTTAGCTGCCAAAATAGGGGCAAGAGCCTAGCAATGCCAACTCACGGTTGGGGCATATCTGGATAATTATTCAACCATATCAATTTTATGTTCTTCCTTCTTATTAATTATGCTAAATTATTGTTTTATTTCAATTAATTAGTTTTATTTCATTAATTAACCCTAATTTAGACATGAATGAGCAGTAACCGTCATAAAAAGAACAAAATAATAATTATTTTGGAAAATTCGTGTTATGTCCGAATATAGAGGGCCAGGTCCATTGGGCCTCTCTATCATCGGACTTCCGAATCACTTGGGCCTCTCTATCATGACAAAGGAAATGGACGACACAAACTTTTTTAATAGTTATATGGTTATTTCGTGGAAAAATATAATCTTGGTCTATTTATCATTCAATAATATTATTTTTTTAATAATAAAATTAAGGTTATTATCAATTCATGTGTATATGTGTTTATAAGCCATGGAAAGGGCCCCACAGGAAAATGGTTTAGATTCTTGGACAAAAACACATACAATGCAACCCACGACATTTTGATTGGGTAGCATAAGATAAGCCTAATTCTTATTAATTAATAAAAATTTGGTCACGCCACTAAAATATGTATATTAAATTAAATATTAGAATATAGTTTACACCGCACATAAGTGTACACTGTACTTACTACTCATTGCATAAAAAATTAATTGCCGAAATAAAATTAGGTAAGAGTAAGTATTTAATCAATTCTTGGATTGTATTGGGCCATAAATTTAGTGTCCTTTCAGAACTGCATAAGGCTGAATGGACATTTCCCCATCAATATTAATTTTAAACGTTTATTACGTATAAGTATTTAAATAAAATTTTAATTGTTTAATTGTGTATTATATAAAAATAAAAAATGGGATACAGTTAGTTGCAATAAATTCCAGCTGGCAAAACCAGAGTCCACTTTATCCAAACAGGGAACATGTTACATGCTGATGTTCCAATTATTTTAATTTAAAGACATTTTCCAACCAAGCTTTTCAATAATATTGTTTCAATACTCACGTGATACGCACGTGCATAACATGATCCATAAATCCCTCTCTACCCCTTTCCGCACAGGTGAAACTTCCAAAAATGCCCCCCCATACCCATTCCTCACATGGCCCAGAACCATAATTTAGGCAATATATATATATATATATATAAATAAAAATAAAACCAACAACTTTGGTTCAATAATTTAAAAGGTGATGAATGAAAAAATTGAAGTGATGGGGGCGTCAATCCAATAATTGAAGCTCCATCGTCTTCATCACTGCCACTATATTTATATAATATTTGATGAAGGACAAGAACAAGTCTGTCAGCTCAACAGTCCCGTCACCCGCAGGTGGGCGGTGCCAAAACCCTCTGCTTTTTGCTTCCTTCCTGCTCTGTTCTATTCAACTCCAACAATCATTTTATTGAATTATGTATTATAAATTTGGGGGCAGCCCAGGTGAGAGGCATTACATATTTGGGTGCCTTTAAATTCCCGGATTTTGCTCTAAATACCGTAAAGGTTCCACCTTTTTTCCTACTTTAAATACACTTGCGCATTCCACCTGCCACTCTCCCAAATTCCTCACTGAGATAGCCATGGACACACTTGAAGGGTGTCCCTGAAATTTACCAAGATTCTTGTTGTGATCATGGGGAAGCTGCACAAGAAAATTTCAAAGGCGTTGGACTGTTTTAGTCTTAGTCTTGGTCCCTCCTCTTGTAGCTCAGGCTCTTGTTTTTGCATAAACTCCATGGAAGAGCAGGAAGATGAGTTTGATAAACTGCCCCTCATATCCACTCACAAAGACCAGCTGCCCACGTTGAAGGACGTTGTCAATGGAAACCAGACCTTGGCCTTTCAACTCAAGCCCAAGGTAACTAATTTTTACCTTTATTACTGTTATTATCATACAGTTTGAAACAGGATTTGTGTGTTTGGGTTTGCAGATGGTGACTCTAAGGGTATCCATGCACTGTAGAGGCTGTGCAAGAAAGGTGGAGAAACACATTTCAAAAATGGAAGGTAAAACACGATTCTTCATAATAATATAATATTGTTCACTTCGAGTATAACCTCATTGTCCTTGAATGAGCAGGAGTGAGCTCGTACACAATAGACCTGGAGACTAAGATGGTGATCATTATTGGGGACATTCTGCCATTTGAAGTGGTGGAGAGTGTCTCTAAAGTCAAAAACGCACAGCTCTGGCAATCCTCGCTAGCTTGATCATTATTCCATATGAACAACACCATTATTAATTAAATGTGTACATCGTTGGAAGACAGGGGGATCGGAATTTGGCAGAGAATATTTTTTATTCTCACTAATTTTGTGCTTTTTTTCTTTTAATTTCCGTATTCTATATGTTTATTCACCGGAAGTGGTGTGATTTATAGGAATTTAATGAAAATTAAATTTGATGACACAGAATATATATATATAGCGATTAAAATAAAATAAATAAGGAAGACAAATATAAAGATAAGAGTTAGCATAGAAAATGTAAATGCAGATGAAAAATAAATAAAATATTTAATACGTAACCGATGAATGCCTTTTACTTTAATTTTTGGTTTTTTTTTTTTTTTAGATAACATCTTAATTTCATTGACTTTGAATATTAAATACCAAATTGATTACAAAATGAATGGTCAGGTTTTATTTTAGAGAAACAACTATAAAAGAAAAATATCTCTTCGCAACGACGTCGTTTAAGTGGTGAAAGTCATCGCGGTCAGAATTCAAGAGAGAACAGTTGTTCCTTAGCCACCACGACCTTGGATAACTCGAAAGACAAATTAGAAATTTTTGTAATCTGAAAAAACTAAAATTTGATTCAGAAATTTCGCCATGAAATCCATCTTCGTTCTCTTTCTCTTCTCAGCCCTCGTTTCTGTTTCGACCCAATCCACGGATTCAAAAGGCCCAACAATTCCGCCGTCCTCTGCTCACGCTCGCCTTGCCAATTACGGATTTCCGTTCGGCCTTCTGCCGTCTACTGTCTCGAGCTACACCATTAATGAGACCTCCGGAGACTTCTCTTTAGACCTGGGTGACTCGTGCAAGTTCACGCTTCCACCGGACAACTACGTGGCTTCCTTTTCTAGGGTTGTCACCGGTAAGATTGCAAAGGGTCGAATCCACAATCTAAACGGGATTCGAGTCCGCGCGTTGTTCCAGTGGTGGTCGATTACTGGAATTAAGTCCACCGGCGAGGATTTGGTGTTCGAGGTGGGGATGATCACCGCTAAGTATCCATCCAAGACTTTCAACGACAGCCCTGTGTGTGAAGGGCGTCTGTCGGCTTCGTAACAGCTTCGGGTTTCTTCAATTCACTGTTCTTCTGCTTCTTTTAAGGTTAATTCACTAACATTGTAGTAATCTCCAGTATATCTTATCTTTTACCAAGAATCTTTTAGCTGGAGTTTGTGTTGTGTTCCTTTACTGCTGTGGTCTCAAGCTATCTTCATTACTGTTCTAAAAGAAACAACTGAATTCTCTCATTTTGTCTGGTTTTTTATTCTATGCATAAAAGTAGATTCCTCAACTTTGTTTCTTTTGGTGTTAAAATTTTAAATTTCTTGACTTCTTAAACTGCAGAATATATAATATTTAACTGCTATTTCGTTTTTTGTGCAGGCCATTTATTCACTTCAAGCATAGATATGATATGAACATACTGGATAATGCATATCATATTATCATCAATGTCACGAGGTATCTGTTCTTTAAAATGCAATATTAACCTTCTAACTATCTATGCTGCCTGTGCATCCGCCTGCTATTTCTATATATTACTTCTGCTTATTGCAATTCTTACCCATGGATTAATACTCTATTTCAATAATATTGTCTGCTTTGACTGGTTATGTATCACCATCAAATTAACGATTTTTAAAACGCTTTTATTAGGAGAGTTTTCCACACCTTCATAAATAATGTTTTATTCCTCATCTCCAACAAGTATAAGATGTCACAATCCACCTCCTTCGAGCTCCCGCATTTTCTGATACCATTTATAATTGCCCATGATCAATAATTTCCTCGTAAATACTGTTTTATTCCCCATCTTCGTAAATGGTGCATAATCCAACAATTAATGCAATAATATTATTCGTATAACTATAGGTCAATAATTTCTTCTTTACGAAATATATAAACATTCGTGTTAAGTGTTATCGTAACATTCCCAAATCTTCCCCTCCATTCATCCTCATAGCCATACTTGCATAATGTGAAAAATTTGAAATCGAGTCGAACAACCTTTTAGACATATTGGTGGGAAATATGGTGAGTGAACCGACATGATCAAACTAAAACTTGACAGAAAAGACGTAACGTACGTCTAGTACCCCTCACCTCCAATGCACTACGCAATTTGAAAACTATGGACATGCCGACAGGTGGACACAATACATATTGTTGTTGTTGTAGCAGAAGTGGAGAGCCTCACTTACCAGATTCCCCTAAAAGCATATCTTCATTTCCCAATAACCCACCAAGACCAGACCCAACAAAGTTGTCGTAGGCAATTCATTTTACACGCCCCCCACAGCCAACACCAATTGAAGTGGAGTGGCACTGCCCTGGCCTCGTTGTCCGTGCCCCCTAATCCTATTGCTTGCCCTTCTAGCATGCGCCTCTCTTTACTCATTACCCAATCAATCCCTCCCTCAATCCATAATTACATGTCACTCTCTTCAAATACCACACCCAAACACATCTCACTATTTCAGATTGCCTTGTTGTCTATTTTCACCACTTTTATCTATCTATCTATCAATCAATCAATCATCCCCTTTACCTTTTCCCTTCATTTCAACTAAAACCCACCCACCCTTCTTACCTCCCTACCACTACTCTACACTTTTTTTTCTTCTCGACCCAACAATTATTTCATCAATTCATAATCTGAAGAGATTCGATCCAAAAATGAGTTGAATAATTATATAAAATTTGTTTGTTCACACTAGGACTTAATTTTGATACGAAATATAGAGGGCATAGGTTTGAATTGAATGATAGTCACCAAAGTTAGGTTAAAGACAAAAAGAAATTAAATGGGTTCATTTAATTTGGTTCATTTAATCTGGTCCATCACAGTTAGAAAACGCCGCAAAAACACGCTTCTCATTTCTCAACCCGCCGTTTAAAGTGGGGGAGTTTTCATTCTTCAATTTCCGCCCACTGATTTTTGTAAGTTCGCATTTAAATTGCCCATAAGGTCCGGAATTGAAGGATGATGATTACAGGGAATGCACCAAAATTGTTCAATTTTTACGTTATAAAAAGCTTTCTCATGGATTATCTTATCTGTATTAAATCATATTAAAATTTTGATCTTTAGAAAATGGCTAATAAATTTTAAAGTTTTTAATTTAGTCCAATAATTCGTTGAAGATTCTGTATTGTGAAACCGAGTCTTTCTTTAAAATTAAGGCGACGTGATTGGGGAATTTTCTAATTCAATTTCGTGTAATTAATGATTAGAGTGATGAGGTGTCAAGAGATTTAAAAGACGTTCGATCGGACGGTCGTTATTTGATCTGGCGAAGCAGCAGCAGTGGCGAGGGAGATGCTGGTGGTGATGAGACTGGTTTTTTTTGTCTTTCGCTTTGGGTTCCAAAACAAACATGATAAAAGCGAAAATATAATAATAATAAAACAATTTGGAATTGAAAATAACGTTTTACTGATGGAAAGTGGAAACTCACGCGCCGAAAAAGTGCGAGTGGGTTTCACTACCCAATTGTAAATCAACGCAGTGGCTAAGTACTTTATCTGCTCGCTCCTCACAAAACTTCGTTCCTATTAGGAGGAGCATTTTTCACGCGCTTCTCTTGTTCGTGTTTTCCACGCTCGGTCTCCAGGTTCCATAACGTGAACATCTCGTACAAGCCTTTTCTCCCCTCTCCCTTTCGAAGCCAACTAACACCTTCGAAGACTCTTTCTCTCTCTCTCTCTCTCTCTCTCTCCTTCTTCTTCTTTCTCTCTCTAGCTTCATGCTTGCGCAGAACAAATTATTCGGTTTCGGCGCATCGAAGCCCTAGATTCGTCCCCATTCTTCGCCGGTACGTCCCGAATATTTCTCTTTTATTTATATCGTTTCATTCAAACGATTTCCTTGGTTCTTTGGGGCTGTTTCTGTGGCAGATCCATTGATTTTCGAGCTTCCTTCTTGGTGTTGTTCTTTTTTTTCTTTTTCTTTCTGTTTTTCTATCCGTATTGTGTTAGTATTCCGCAGCGCTACTATATATGTTTTTCTGTTTAATTCGCTGTAATCAGTATCTTTGTTGCTGGCCTTTTATTGGTTTCTCAAGATTTGCACAATGTGTTTGTGAAAATTTCTGAAGCGTTATTTTCAACTTTTACTTCACTGCTGGTGGCTTCCCGTATTTTTGTTTTTGGGTTATTGTTGTCATATCGTATAAAGTGGTGGGGGAGAATGTTTGATGAAGGTAATGCCAATTGTCATGGTAATTCAACAGTGATTTTCGAGGGAATGGTGGAAAAGAGATTATTTTTTCTCTTCTGTTTATTTTTTCCTCTGGGAACTTGACTGAAATCGTTTCTTCTGTATTGCTGAATCAATGATTTACATATTTGTCAATTAATTTCGGGAAAATCATAAGCTACATTTGGGAGGGAAAGTGTTGAGAAAAAGATGTAGTCGTTTGAGAGTTTCCTCCTGCATACGCATAGATTGAAAGTTCATCTGCTTTTATTTTCTTATTTTTCCCTTGGACTTTATGAAGATTAGCTTGCATTTTATTGTTATGATGAAGATCTTGTGACTTGGTTTCACGCTCTAATGGAGTATACATATATGGACGAAAAAATAGACAATTTGTTATATCTCTACTCTCTTGCGCTGAAAATTATAGCATATTCCGACGTATATTATGAGATTAGTACTATATTAATTGGTTGCCATTTATTCTCCAATTCCTTTTCACTGAATGGCACTAAGGAATCACTTGCCTTGCGAATTTGGTAAGAAGATTATGAATTATTTTGTTTTTCTGCGTTGTTTGTCTTTTGTTAGTGCTATTATATGAGTCAATATTCTCTTTCCAACCATGACCGAAAGAAATTAAGCTTACATTGACATGATCATGTATATGAATTCATGTTATTTTATTGCCATGTTTAACTTGTTTATATTTTCTATCCAGTTTTGGCGTTCAAAGCCCTGGTACGTAGAGATGCAGAGAAAATGAGCTGTTAGGTGATGGTTGAACAGGTCTAGAACTGTTCTCTAGGTTTCCAAAATGATGACGAATGATGAAATTGTTCAACATTCTGATCATGTCTTAACGAGGAGAAGCTGAACTTAATCATTCTAGTAGTTAAATTTCAGAACTTTCAAAGGTTAGAATGGTTAAGAAACTGGGGATGAAGAAAGCTTCATCCAGTTTAAATA